TAGTAATAGCTCATTACCGAAACTTGAGAACAATTCGTGTTTTTCGTTTTCATTGATTGTTGAGATAGGTGTTTGCATCTGACAAAGTCTTTTTAAACCTTGCTTTTCATGTATATAGATGAATATAATGACGATGTGATACGATGTGAATTTTGAAGAAAATGATCATCTTACTATCGGTTCTAAACTATTTTCGATTTCACACAGTAGATTTTTTGTTTTGTTGGCTGTTACGACTCGCTGACTCCGCAAAACAGAACTGACATGTTTTTATTGACTAACTAAAACCACTTTACCAATCACAGATTCGTGATCGAAAGTGCTTTAGTTACAGAGGGATCGTAATCTTCAGACATGCAATGGTGACGGAGAAGCAGCGATGAATTGTCACCGATTCACACTGTTTTATATCCCCTCATACATTTTTATACTACCAGTGTACAGCCCACGTTCATCAGCGTGTACAGTAATTCCTGACTTGAATAGGACAGGGAGGTTACCATTTTTTATAATGCTTGTTCGAAGAGAACTAAATGTAAAAGTTTAATTTAAATTCTTATATAATGTGTCGAAATTCTCGACCTTTAAGAATTTCATCGATCTATTCATATTTTGTTGTTCGTTAATTCTAGTCTCGAAAACATAAGTAGATTCTTGGTTATAGATGATTTCTTGTTGCTGATGATGACCGCATTCTTACAGAATTCATGAAAACAGATTATAGATTCGGATTTCTTGATCTTGATTACCTTTGGTGAATCTCTATAAGAATGGTAGCCTTCCTGTCCTATTCGAGTCAGGAAGACAGCTCGTGTTGATGAACGTGAACTGTACACCCCTAGTATAAACCTGTATGAACCGGTATCAGCCAATATTAGCCTAGTACTTGTGTATGTCGCGTAATACTGGTTGAAAACAGGTTACAAAGATTAGAATCTGTTACCGTGGAAACGGTTACTGATATGTAACGATTGTTTTCACCATTCCATGTTTAGTGAAAACGAAGAATGTTGAACAAAATCTGTTATGAATAGGTTACACATATAAACCATTTCAATATTGATTAGAACATAAATTTGCCTTTTGAATCAATAAAAATAAAAAAGAAACATGTTTTTTTCACACGGATACAACAATTTAGTACCTGCTTTCAAAAACTATGACTAAAGAACTATGAGTATTTGTGGAATTTTTGATAGGAACTAGATAGGAATTTGCAGTTTCCGCCGTCTAAAAAAAAGAGGAAATAAAACTGTGTCGAGTCATATACACCCGAGTTTTTTTTTGACAAGTTTTCTTAATGATTTTCGTTAAGTTTCTTCGAAAAATCTATCGATAACACCGAGTAAAATGTTCATAACTCATGATTGGCTAAACCCTATTATATCGAATTCACACAATTTATAGATCTTTATTTACTCATTCTAGTGCACTCCTCAAAATCAAAATCCTAAAACTTTTACATCATACAATATTTTATTTTTAATAAACTTGATGGTAGATCCTGAAAAACCAAAGATCTCTATTTTTTTCTCATCAAAGCTAATTCTAAAAAGTGGGCATCCTTCGTTTATTTTGAAATGGATAATAGTCACAAATTTTCAATGCACTTAAATCTTCCATTAATTTATGACGTGTTGATAGTTTTTATGCATTCATTACTCAAGAATCGCTTTACTTAATTTTCTGCTTCATAAAATATCAGTCCTTGATTCTAAAAAGTTTTTTATGTCAAACAGTACAGGAAGAAGCCTTCATTATGCGAGAAATTTCATCCACGTTACAATTATTCTTACTTCCTTAATTTAATATCCCTCAGCGATCCATTAGCCAACGACTGTCAATTGTCTAAGACACCACTTTTATTATAGTCAATAACGTTTTCGAGCACATGCTAACCTCACTTTAATATATACAGTTGACAACTGATATTTGACAGAATTCATCAAACGTAAGCTCTAAAAACTAGAAACATGCTTCAAGGAAATTCGTTTGTCAGTCGGTAATTTTTTTTTGCATCATACTGTATATAATGATGGCTTTTTTTTTCGTTCTACCGTTTATAAATAATTTTGACGTTATACGAACAGAAAAAAAGTATATATTAATATTCATTATGCCTCTATTCATGAAGATCAGGTACACTTACTCGAAGGATGAATAAAAATAAAATGAAGAGAAAGACCTTGATTCAATGGTTTGCTGCTCGACTACTTTGTTTAACACATCTAAGTCTTTCTATATATTTTCTTCTTGTAACCAGATATGTTGGTCATGTTTTCTTTATTCCAATTATTGGTATTGGTATTATCATTTTGGAAATCATCATAAATTTTTTGTTAAAATTTTGTTATCAAAATTCATTTATCTTATTATTTGTTTATTCAGTTTGTATTATATCATCGATATGGTTTCTTGAATTATATAGAATAAATTATTTAGTTACAACTGAAAATCAACAAGCAAGTGTAGAAATTTTTTCTGTTATCTATTATGCTGCTATTCCCAATGATAATAGATTCTTTTTATATAAGAAATATTTATGGTCACAAATTCAAATCCAAGGTTATGTAGTTTTAATATCTCTGTTGAAAGGTTTATGTGACAAAAAAGGTCAAACATTAGATATTATAGTTAAAACATGGGCAAGTGCACTAGATAGTCTTGATTTTATTGATCTTCTTAGTCATCAACCATTATATTCTAATCGTGCTTTTGTCTATGTTACTCTTACTGTTTGGTCTATTAGTTGTTTTCAATATGTTGCAAATATGTCTACCATAAAAGATATATTATTAAAATATAATTATCAACGTTTAGCATCTATAATGACATATTCATTATTAAGTGTGATAATTATGGATGTTCCACATTTAATAGTACGCCTTTATGCAATAATTGGTGTTAGACAACATGATTATTCAAGTTATTTTCTTGTTTTTAAAAATATTTTTATAATTATATTACAAACAGCAGAAGTTTGGACAGTTTTTAGTAAAAGTTCAACGAACAAGAAAAAGAAGAAGAAAAGAACAATACCTACTTCTATTTAAACATATACTAATACGCATTACATCCGATAAAAAAGAATATATGATTCTGATTAAATTAAACGTCAGTCATGTTTGATTTTATATAATATTTTCTTGTATCCATTCAAATGAAAAGTTATTCATCATTTGTGTTATAACTTTGTTATCAACGTAGGTTTTAAATTGATATAAATTTCATGGAAATATTATTTAGAATACTTGCAACTATATTTACACGAGTTTATGTATAGAGTTTTATCTAGAGAAGACTTACATGATTCTTAATTGTAATTACCTGAAATGTTTCCGTCATAAAAACAACAATATCATGATCGATGTGAATTCTATTCCATGTACACACTTATCCATTTAGATAAGTTAATGAGATAACTTAACTAGTACAAAAATACAGTGTTGTGAAAAATTATAGAATCACCTGTTTGAGTCCAGTTATTTGCTCGTTCTCTGCCAGTTAAGACTTTCAAAGGAAACGAAGTCCATGTAAGTATATGTGTTCAATTATGCTCTATCCAAGAATGAAATTAGATTCCTCAATACTACTACTTAACTTTGAGAAAACAAGCATTTTTTGATATCGGTCCATTTTTGCCTGTGAAAAATTATAGAATCAATATCATAATTTCGTCCTTTTTACATTACGAGAACTTCAGTTTTGATTGAAAGTGATATATACAGATAGAGAATTTCCTGCTGAACATTTCCGTAAAAAAAGGTCTGAAAAACAGTTTATATTTGAAAATAAAATTAGATTTTATTGCACAAGCCAAAATGGCTTGAAAACTGCATCTTGGCTTAGTAATTTAGCTAGGATATGCGAAATATAAATAGTAATGATTTTCTGGCGATGAATTCGAATAGAAGACACTTTTTGCAACAAAATGA